CTCCACTTTAACTTGCCGTACCTTTGGGCACCATACAGCAGGCCATCTGTGGGCTCCTTACTGGCAGATTAAAAGTATGTGGAAAAAAATAACAGTGTAATACAAAATAACAGTGTCATACAACTAAGATAGAGTATAACAACTATTTACATAGCATATATGTTGCATGAGGTATTAGATGTAATCAAGACGTGATTTCAAGTTTACTGAGGGAGGCATATAAGTTTCACACAAATACTATACCATTTTATATCAGAGACGGGAACATCCTTGGTACCCACTGGTGGGAGGAGATTCCCTGGAATCAATTCCCCAGCAGATACAGAGGACTGACTGTATTTCTTTCCATGAATCAGAGCACTAAGGATCACTCCCATCTTTGGAACTCTTAATAGCTCTTTTATGCTGTTTAATCAAGAACAAACTCTCCACAATATGATCAACCGTAATTCCCAAAATAGCCTTTTTTACTTTCCTTACAGCTCTAAGAACCAGCCCTGACAACCCTTGTAGCCCTCACTGTTCTCCAAACATCCACGTTTTTCTGCCTCTACATATTTGCTAAGATTGTCCTTACTCAGAATTCCAACAGTCCACCTTTTGGATTAAAAAATCTCCCAGTACTTAAGTGCTTATGTCAAATGCTACCTCTTTGTCAAGAACTTTTAACCATAATATGTAATCCCTGGCTCAATGGAGCCCTCATAAAAATTTGTACAAGTGACATCTTGTATTACGTTATAGATATCTGGTATTTCTCTGTGTCTCTCTACTCAATGATAAGCTGCCTTCTATCCCTCATCTTTACACTCCCTTCAACAGGAGAGAGACTAGAAAATATGCAGCACTTCACAAGTGTTGCTAAATTGAATCCAATTGGCTCTTTCTAAATTACTAAAACCAAAACTCCTTAAGTGACATATTTCAACAGCAATTTTAAAAGATTTCTAAGAAACCAATATATTATTTAAGTATCATTATAGCTGAAAGTTTCATTCCATGCAATCAAATATTTTGCCGTTCTTAAAGACACATACTACCAAAATTATTTTACACCTTAATAGACCATCATATCCACGGGAACACTCTCTGGGCTAGGTCTTTGTGCTACAAAAGTCTAAGGAAGACATGTGTGCTATTAACCAGTAGACACTGGAAGAAATAGACGTCTGATGGCAGGAGCATAATCACTTTGAACCAGCTCAAACTATGATAAGTATGTTTCTTATGAGTCACAGTACCATAATCCCAGTGGACTTAACTTTAAAAGGGCATAGTGTATCTAATACAGCTGCTCTGAGGCTGGGCCAAAACAGTTATCCTGACTCGACCTTTTGGGCCTTGAATCAATAACAGGCCCAGACTACATGAAGAGAACTAAGTTGCTCTCACTGCATTAAATGCCTGACAAACATCAGGCCAGCTGTCTATCCATCTATCATCTCCATTCACCCATCCTTCTATCCATGCTAGCCCCCCTCTAATGCATCACTGCAATGATATTGTTATGTATGTATACATTTTGATATGTACTGAGCACTTCATGTCCGACACTAAGTATTTTACGTATGTTAAACCTTATAACAATTCTATAAGGTAGGTACTGTTATTCCCATTTTACAGACGAAGAAATCAAGACTCAGAATGTTTAAGTAGCTGCCCAAGTTCATACAGCTAATAAGTAGTAGGACTGGGATCTGAATCCTGGAAATTTTCTCCGAGTCCATCACTTTTTTTTTTTTTTTTTTTTTTTTTGAGACGGAGTTTCGCTCTTGTTACCCAGGCTGGAGTGCAATGGCGCGATCTCGGCTCGCCGCAACCTCCGCCTCCTGGGTTCAGGCAATTCTCCTGCCTCAGCCTCCTGAGTAGCTGGGATTACAGGCACGCGCCACCACTGCCCAGCTAATTTTTTTGTATTTTTAGTAGAGACGGGGTTTCACCATGTTGACCAGGATGGTCTCGATCTCTTGACCTCGTGATCCACCCGCCTCGGCCTCCCAAAGTGCTGGGATTACAGGCTTGAGCCACCGCGCCCGGCCTTTTTTTTTTTTTTTTTGAGAAAGCATTTTATTCTTACGTCTTGCTAGGCTGGACTCACTGCAACCTCCACCTCCCAGGTTCAAGCAATTCTCCTGCCTCAGCCTTTCAATTAGCTGTGATTACAGATGCGTGCCACCACCACCGGCTAATTTTTGTATTTTTTAGTAAAGATGAGATTTCACCATGTTGGTCAGGCTCATCTTGAATCCTCACCTCAGGTGATCCACCTGCCTCGGCCTTCCAAAGTGCCGGGATTACAGGCATGAGCCACCACACCCAGCCTAGAGCCCATACTTTTAATCACTCCATGATACAGTACTATGAGAGAAGGATTTTGTTTTCTTCTTAGAAGTTGGAGAGGTCTCTGAAAGTTACCCTATTTCCAGAAAGGACCTACAGGAACCTGTCATACAAGTAAAGGCACGGGTGCACATAAACATAGGAAACCCACAGTTATAAAATTGGAACTGTTTCTTAAAAATAAAATTGAGAAGCTAAATGTGAAGCATATAATACATCGGTGAGCTTGCAAGGCAGCCCTGTGTACTACTGGTATGGATCTCTGCATGGACCCCATAAAAGTGGTCAGGGCAATTGCCTGGACAGATTCTGCTGAAGGCTCTCGATGGGCATCAGTCAGCAAGGTGAGAGTGAGAAATGAACTTCATTATTCCATTCAGTCTTAAAGAGAAGCATTTGGTCTTCTACAGAAATGCATACATAACCAAACAAAACCATGCTTGACTCAGTCCTGTATTTTGTACCAGGAAGGAAGGAATGCAGTGACTAAGAAGCTATGAATAAACAACAAATCCTTTTCTATGGGAGGGAGAAAAGAACGCTCTCTACCACAGCATTCCTTCTTCATAGTTTTACCAAAAAAAAAAAGCTCCAGCCTTGGCTCTTCAACAGGGAAAGTGAACCTGATTGCACTCACAACTTTCACCCGCCAACGGCTGCATCTTACCTCTTACTCTCTAATAAAACAACAGTAGAAAAAACCTGGAAAATGTGTTCCAAATTCATGATATTGAAGAAGGCTTGCCAGAGGCCGTAAGTCGGAGAAGCCAAGCAACAGTTGAATTTGGAATGAAATATTAGACAATGACTTAGCTTTCATTCTGAAGGGCTACCTTCAATAACACTGCAGCTCGTAGGACTGACGAAGTTAAATAACAAGTGGTGGCAGTCAATATTTTATTGTTATTTAATTATTGTTTGAGATGAAGTCTCACTCTGTCGCCCAGGCTGGAGTGCAGTGGCTCGATCTCAGCTCACTGCAACCTCCAAAGTGTGACAATGCAGTAACTTAATTCGCGCTAAGGTGAAGGGAAGTGTGTCCCCACCCTTCACTCTTCTAAGGAGTGGCAGAAATCCCAGAAGAGAAATTCCGACCTCCCTAGGGAGGAGACAACGCCGCCCCCTTACCTGCGCAGGGGCTCCCATCATAGGCTTTTGCACACCCACTTGTGGCACTCACACAGGGGCCCGAAGACCTCCCAAGTTCAAGTAATTCTTCTGCCTCAGCCTCCCAATTAGCTGGGATTACAGGCATCTGCCCCCACGCCTGACTAATTTTCGGATTTTTAGTAGAGACAGGGTTTCACCACGTTGGCGAGGCTGGTCTTGGACTCCTGACCTCTAGTGATTCGCCTGCCTCGGCCTCCCAAAGTGTTGGGATTATAGGCGTGAGCCACCCCACCTGGCATTTAGTATTTTTAAATGGTTGATCTGCAGCCTTCAAAGGGAAAACAAACCAAGTAGATGCACCTGCGCCCTTCCAAATTCCTTCTCTATTTTTCGCATTCCCAAGCAGCCTGCATATTTAGTAATTTCACTATACACTCCCTGGGCCCAGGTTCCAAGAAAAAAATATTTTGCTATAAACTAAATCTTGATCTTTCTATGTTAGTGTTGGCCATCTTATTAGTCTTAGCTACGTTGAGGGTAAAATAAGAGGCTAGTTTTTCCTACAAATTTGCCAAGCCCTGGCTGGAATGTATTGTGTTGCGCTTCCATAAATGGAGTTCTGTGTCGCTCACAAGGTACTTATTGAAGCTGTTGGCCTTAAGTAAAATGACACATTTGTCTGAAACAGGTAAAGAGGTGAAGGGTGTTCTCTGGAAAGGAATTTTTTTACCCTTTCCGATATCAGAACCTGAATCACTCCTTAAAAATGTGCAAGGAAAATGAATGTATTTTCCCTCCACCCTTACAAAATATGAAGTTTCATTGCAACTCAAAAATTCAAGCAGCTGAAACACTACAAGAACAGTCACTTCTAAGTAAATATGTGCCTCTTTATTTTTTTCCTTGTTGTAGTTTACTGATAGGCACTCCTGCCTGTGAATTCTATTCTAACGATGAGAGGGCAAATCAAGCTTCAAAGACAAAACCTGCCTCCCTGGAATGGAGGAAAATAGTACATTCCTCCTCCCACTGTTTCCTATGTAAAATAAAACACAGGCCTATGATCTGCAAATATTATGATTAACATTCTTGATAGGGATAGAGCCCAGTAACATAACTCCATTTGTGAGGACGTTATGGAATTTAGTCTGTGATAAGGAACTTTCGTGGCAAGTGAGATTTCAGAATTAAGCAAATGACGGCCAGGTGCAGTGGTTCAGGCCTGTAATCCCAACGCTTTGGGGAGCCAAGGAGAGAGGACGGCTTCAGCCCAGGAGTTGGAGACCAGTCTGGGCCACATAGCAAGACCCAATCTTTAAAAGGAATAATCATCACATTCAAAATATAATTGTGTGAATGATTTTTAAAAGTATTACTTCCATTCAAGTTTGGAGCCTGGGGGATAAAAGTATTGTGATAAATGAGGCCGGCATTAGCCAAAGTGCGCCAACCGTAGTGACTTCATTGGTGCTTGTGTGGCGTGTCCCGACCCTTCACTCCTCCAGCGAGTGGCAGGAATCCCACAGGAGGAGCCGGCGCCGCCCTCTTACCTGCACACGTGCTCCCGTCGTAGGTCTCGCACACCCACTCGTGGCACTCACACAGGGGCCCGAAGAACATGCCCGGCTCGGTCACGTGGCAGATGCAGACGCCGCAGTCGCAGCGGCCCCGGCCGTGGCACAGCGCGGCCCCCGGCGGCTGCCCAGGTGCGCGGCAGCGGCGCTCGGACTCGGCCCGGGACAGCCTGCAGCCGGCGTCCGGCCAGCTCCTGCGCGGGCGACAAGCAACAGCCAGGCGGGGTCAGACGCGGGCGCCGCCCCCTGCCCCGAGCCCACGTGTCCTCCCCCGCATTCCTCCCAGGTGGAGACCTACAACCCCAGGAACCGGAAGCCTGAGGCCCACTCTCCCTGGGGTTCAAACGCTGCCTGGGCAGCAAACAGGTACCACCCACCTGAGGCAAGACCAGGGCCCACAATGGGTCAGGGGTGACCTGTCCCCCTGGTCACAGGTCCTTCTTCCAGGTGACACAGGCGATCTGCCCTGCTCTTTGGTAATTTGTCTCTGAATCTAATATGCACGTTTAGATGAGATAGAAAGTAATCCAAGGTGCGGCACTTTGCTTACTTTTCAGTTCTCCTTTAAAAAATCGTCCCCGCACTATCTACTGCCCAGTGGGCAGTTATATTATGGGAAAGAAGAGGTGAATCCATAGAAAGAGTTAGATTAATTATGATAGCATCGGGCGTAATTTGCATTAAGCAGTCTTTAGGACTTTAAAAAGTTTAGTTTCAATATTGCAATGTGCCTCAAAGTTTCTTTCAGAATGTGATACAAAATGCAATACAGACTTCCTGCTGCTGCTGTCAGGAAACAGCTCATTCTGCTTTATAGGTTGTGAGAAGATACAGGTACGCATAGAACTACCTTTAAGTCATGGCAGAAATTCCTCCTGATATGTATTTGCAGAAGAGGAAATGATATTCTTATTCAATGATTGCATTTTCCCAAAGGAAAAGCAAAAGGACAGACATGAGGCAATTCACAGTGTTGATATAAGGAGAGGAAAAGGAGCAGGTTGAAAACAGTTTATCCCGTGTCCGATTTAGTAACAGCTCTTGGCTTAGGGCAGCCATCCTGCAAGCTTGAGCCCTGCCACATAAGCAGGGCAGGTCTGTCCTGAAGAATAACAAACCAGACTTACCTCAGAGATGGCGAGAAGCTTTGAGGAACAGCTGACAGCCCAGCAAAGAGAAGGGAGGACGCCAGCAGCAAGAAGTTGCTGAAGCCTGGGGGACGCATGCTGAGCTCCTAGGCTGCTGGGGACGAGCTGCACTTCTGCAAGGTGGAGTTCAGCAGGGGAGGCAGCAGGAGGGAGTGGTGCCACCAGCAGATGGCCGGGCAGATGGACCCAGGACACCCAGACGTGCCGGTCCCGGGCTCCAGCCAGGAGTTGCAATTGCAGCGAGGATTTGGGCAGCGGCGCTGCTCTGGGCGGGGTGCTGGTGCCAAACCCCTCAGTGGAGAGTCTAGGCAGGGAAGTAATTAGAAACAGTTGTACAAGCAGATGGTTTATTTTGACCAAAAAAAAAAAAAAAAAAAGTGTCCTGTTCACAGATTTGAGAAAATCGTTTCTTTCTTCAAGTACAGGCCCCAGAAATCTTTGACAAGAGAATATTTGGACTGACCGATATTAAAGAGACCTTTAAAATAATCCCTGAGTTGTGAAGAGGAAGGGTGAGACCAGTGACAGTCGGTGTGAACACCTGGGTAGGGAATTACTTTCACCACACGCTTGGAAAGAAGATACACTGGAGTTTGGGCTGTGGGGATGGGGGCAAGGAAATCTAGCAAATATAACTTTTTCTTGCATTTATTATCCTTTGATTTAAACTGTGGATATTTCATTTCTTTAGTCTTTAAAAAGTGTGTCACGCTTCCAGTAGTTTATCACACCACATTTTTTTTTTTTTGACTTGGACAGTTTAAACTGTAGTTGTCCCGAATTCACCCCATTCTCCGCATATATTAAATGTGAGAAAAGAAAACTAAATGTTTATTTATAGCATAAATTGCACTGACAAACAATTGGTGTCATTTACTAAGCACCTACTATACGCCAGTCATTTTGTATGTTTTCTCTAATTATGGCAATAATCACACATTTATTTATGCATTAGCAAATGGGGATTTAGCATCTCTCAGGTGCCAGGTTTTGTGCAAGTTCCACTGCTATCTACTGGCCAATGGGCAGTTATATTATGGAAAAGAGGAGGTGAATCTATAGAAAGAGTTAGACATATTATGATAGCATCATAAATATATGTTATATATTTATGAATAACAGGGAACATAGAATATATGTATTCTATAGAGAGAGAGAGAGGGAGAGAGACTATAACAGGGAACTAAGGAGGCATGATCTCTGCTCGCTCAGAGTCCAATGGGCTAGAAAGACATTAATCAAAACAAAACCACAAACACAAGGACAAAGTTGCAAGTGCGATGAGAAGTTACCTCCAGATGATATGCAGGCACTTGATCTAATCCCAGATGGTGGCATTTGAACAAAAAACTGGAAAAGTCATAGAATTAAATTGGGTGGAAATAATAAGAGGATGGCATAGAACAGGGAAGCATTCTTTCTCCCATTTTAAAGGTAAAACAAACAAACAAAAACAAACAAAAAAAAAAAACAACCTGAGGGCAAAGAGGTCAATAGACTTGCTCAAATTCACACAGGAAGTTAGTCATATTTCAGCTGAAACCCAAAGCACATACACCATCCCCTACATTTGTGTTCATCTGGGAAAAGTGTGTAGAGGATTATATAAAAAGGAGGAAAACGTTTTTCCCTCATCCTAAGAAAAGCACTATAGCTGCAATGCTTCCTCATGAAATAGAACCATCCAAGAATCATCTGTGGTCCTGGTCCCTTAAAATCAGGGATGAGCCATAGCAGGATAGGATTTCTTCCTGTCATTTACGTGAGTATCAGGGCAAGACCACCACAACACTTGCTTGCTGGAGCAAGAAGACAACGAAGGTCCTCTAATCATAGACCATCCCTTTTCCTTTTCTACCCTAATCTCCACCCTGCACTAGGAGAGGATTTTCATGGGGCACATCTGTGTGTCCCCCTCCCCAACCCATACCCACACAATTTTACCTTTTTCAAATGGCTGATTTTCTGGCCACCTTAGATACAGGTGTGTACACCCTGGTGGAGTCAGACTGGGGACAGGTATGCACAGTTTGGGGAGGATGTCTGGACAGGGAATCCTGAGGTCTTGGATACCCAAAGTGTGTCTTAGGAAAAAAAAAAAAAAAAAGACACAGGTTCTGAGTTGGCAAGTTCCCTAAGTCACAAGAACTTTTCCTGTGGGGTAGTGTCTGTCTAAAAGAGAGACAGAATGGGAATTACTAAGTCAATGGTTCTCAAAGCATGGTCCATGGGCTGGCAACATCAGCATCATTTGGGAACTTGTGGAAATGGAAGTTCTCAGGCCCCAACCCTAGCTCTAAGGCAGGTGTCCCCAAACTTTTTACACAGGGGGTCAGTTCACTGTCCCTCAGACCGTTGGAGGGCCGCCACATACTGTGCTCCTCTCACTGACCACCAGTGAAAGAGCTGTCCCTTCCTGAAGTGCGGCGGGGGGCCGGATAAATGGCCTCAGGGAGCCACATGAGGCCCACGGGCCGTAGTTTGGGGATGCCTGGGAGGGATCACAGAATGCACTTGAATAATATCCCAAGATGTCTATTTGTACATAACAGCTTGAGAAGCCTGCAAAGCACAGGGCGCAGGGCTGAGCCTCAGGGTGCCTGGATCTAAGAATGGAACTTCCACCCACCTTTAGTACAAATTCTACAGTTGCATTTTATCCTGCCCACATGTGATAGTACAAGGACATAGGAACAGGCTTTCCTGTCAACATCCAGACACCTAGTGACTCAGAGAATATGGTAATTGTAGAATGGAACTATCTATTCCAAAGCCTGACTAGGAATTTGCAATAAAAACATGGAAGCTTTAATAAATGAGTCATGTATTGTTTGCTCCTTGCATATTTTCTGTGGGGAAAAAATCATTATGGAATAGAGACCTGAGGTTTGAACATTTTTAAATGGATTAAAGTGATTTTGTTTAACCTGTAGTATTTTCATACAATGCACTATTTGATGAGCAATATTATCTTTAACATATTATTCAGTTTGAAGTGAAGACAGTATGTACTAGGTGACTGAGAGGATATAAATGTCCAGATCATTACATTACTGTGACTAAGAAACAAAATTCCTAGTCAGTTGAAATAGTTATATTGTGGCTGACTTGGTGACTCAGTCAAAAGTCTTGGACCCACAGAAACTGTGTCGAAATGAAAGGATAACTTTAAATTTATGCCTTTTAGCATACTTACTTTTTTTTCTGCCAAAGTACTGAATGCCTTGGAAACACCCACTCCCTCCATTTTGCCAGTTTTCAGAACCTCAAGGACACACATGTGGCAAGAAAGGTCCTGAATTTCTCACTTCTGCTGGCTGGGAACCCAGCAGTGGGTTGGATGCATGATGAAGGGTGCCTGAAAGGACCTAGTGCATCTGGAAGTCAACTCAAAAAGACTGAAAACACCCTAGTACTTGAGTGCAGTCCTTCAGTTCTCAGGTTACGCAATCAGAGAATTTCAGCATTCAAGATATATATATATATATATATATATATATATATATATATATATATATATTTTTTTTTTTTTTTTTTTTTTGAGACGGAGTTTCGCTCTCGTTACCCAGGCTGGAGTGCAATGGCCCGATCTTGGCTCACTGCAACCTCCGCCTCCTGGGTTCAGGCAATTCTCCTGCCTCAGCCTCCTGAGTAGCTGGGATTACAGGCACGCGCCACCATGCCCAGCTAATTTTTAGTATTTTTAGTAGAGACGGGGTTTCACCATGTTGACCAGGCTGGTCTTGATCTCTCGACCTCGTGATCCACCCGCCTCAGCCTCCCAAAGTGCTGGGATTACAGGCTTGAGCCACCGCGCCCGGCTTCAAGATATTTTTTAAAGGCTAATTCAAAACTAAATTTGTTGATAACATACTGTGTATTTGCCAAGTAATTAGGTGGCCTTGGTAAGAAAACAAAAAATAGGAGGACCACATTTTTTTTTTTCTGAGAATTTCTCTAAAGGTTTTACCCCTTGATTCCAGATGTGCTCTAACAGGACATTTAAAATAATATACTAGCCACAAACCTTGAATCAAATATTCAATGATAATAGTATATTCCCCAGTCTACATAACTCCCAAACAATTCTGCACTTCGTAAAGATAAATATTTTCATTTCCTTCATCTATTCTTTATGTATTATAACTTTAAGCTTTCAACGCCCTGATTTTCTGAGTGCTTTTGCTTTTTCTGGGATGGATGCCTTTTGGAAAGTATGATATACACAACTGAAACCAACCAGGTAGGTGTGACCTAATGGATGTGGAACAGATCAGTCCTTTCAGCATTCTTGTTTCATATGGTATACTTCTACCAATAAAACTGAAGGTCATACTTGCTTTTTTGAGTGCCACATTGTCCCAGTTGTATGCTTTTATAAGTGTATTTTTCCCCAAACACAAATCGATATTTATTTTTAATCTTTTTCATCTAAGCTCAGTTCTTTTATCCAGTCAGTAAAAATAATTATGGTTACTGGTTTTATATTTCTTTCACCCTCCCAAAAGTAAATATGATGAGCACCCATTCTGTACCTTTATCCAAATAATTAACAAGATAGGGTTGAAAACAATTAGGCTGAGGACCAAGTTTAGATACAACCTTTCTTTAAGACAATGTTAGCCCCTTAGTCAGCACGTATTGAATAGGCCATCCAACCACTTGCAAGTGTACTGAGTTGTCTAATATGAGCCTATTTCTTCATTTTGCTCAGAAAAATATTATGAAAGATCCCATCAGTTGCTTTACTATTTTAGCTTACCACATAAACAAGCTATCACTCCTTTTCTTCCCTCATCTAAAATAGTGCCCAATATATATTACATACTCAATATATATTATTCCATCAATAAACTGAAAATGATGTACAGTATGAATAATAAATTTATAAATCAACAAAGGATACAGGTGATATAGTGGATTCTGGATCAGTTGTCAGATGACATTTTGGCCTTTAGTATCCCCCTGACATGACTGTGAATTCAACTTGAATCTATATAACAACAGATCCCTTCCCTATATTCCCAATTTTTGTAAATTATATCATTTTCACTTAATCCCTTTAGACATAATTGTGAGAGTTATCTTTGGTTCCTGTCTACAATTTATCTGGATTTTCTGCTAAATCTCTGAATCACATTGAGCCCACCTCCTAGAAATCTAGCCTTCCACTTCAACATATATATTTCAGATCTTCATCTTATATCTTGTACCTTATTGCCATAGCCACCCAACTGGTCTCTGCATTTATTCTTATCTTTTTGTGTCTACATTTACCCTTCTCTCTGGGATATCTTTGTAGCATGCGAATTTCATCAGGTC